CCCCCCCCCCCCCCCCCCCCATTGTTGGGAAATTTTCGATCACTTATGATTGCATAAGAAAATATTCGTCGCTTTTCTCTTCTAGGAACGGATCAAAGGCCACTCCTTTACAGTGGAAAACCTCCTCGTAAGAGTTCAGGACTATCAAGAGTGGAGGAGGTAATATTTTTGTTTTGTAATGCTCGAGGTTTTAAGCTACATTACGTGCCCTAAAGGATTTTTTCAGGGATTTTCTTGTGGTGTTGTTACATTTTCCTTTACGTCGTTCTCAGGTCCTCACGCTCAAACTGTACACGGCCGTAGAAGACTTCTATTCGGAGGAAACTGGAAACAAATTCCTCAAGAAGGGCGACAAGGTCGAAGTACTGGATACTAGTCGACCTGAGTTCTGGTTGGTCAGAAGAGTATCACGTGGTTCAGAGATCGGATTTGTACGTCACACTTGTCTGAAGAAAGATGACGACGGGTAAGTAAGAGTTTACTGAGGTTATGTTGCGGTACAAATCTTCTTAATTTATCGAACATCTTAGCCGCCATAAAGTTCACACTTCTACAAATTTGGTATCAAAATAGGCACGCTTACTACAGTGTTTCACCACGTGCTTCCTGGCGCCAAGTTTTTTTTATTACTTATATCTAATAAATAGCAGTAATCAAAGATTTTGAGAGTGGGTTCGATGCTTCTACTTTACTACCTTGAACGATTTCATCAGCTGACTTTCAAATCAAGCCTATTGCTGAAATCAACATTTTTAGATCAACAACCGACATTTTGCTGACAGATATAACATAATGAAAGATTCGAGTATTTTCCTGTGTATATGGTTAGCACCGAGAGGTCCCCGATATAAACTACGATTTGTTGATATGTTACATGACAGCGCCAGTTTCCGTAGACTCAAATAGAACTAAAATGTCTACATTTGCCTTCAAACTCCATTATAAATTGTGAGTACAAATAAATGGTTGTTGTTGTTGTTGTTGACGATGTCTTGTGATCGGGTTTTTGCAATGCCCTTGCTCACCAGTTATGATTATGCTCATACCCATGCTTATTACTATTATTTTTTTTTTCAGCGATGAAACTGCAGACATACCGACGCAAGTAAGTCTATTTGTGGTCTCTAGGACAACAGTGTAAAAATGTGTCCTTTTCCCTTCGCGCTTGAATCTCAGTTAATATTTCCTTTCTCGTCGACATTTTCAAGTATTTGTTTTGGTTTTGCAGGGAGAGAAAATAAGATTTGTGTGTATCACCAACTACAAACCTAAGGCTCCTGGTGAGGTATCCGCGAATGAAGGAGACACAATAGAGGTCCTTGACAACATAGGCTCGGAGAGTTCAATGGTCTGTGTTATTACCACTGGAGCAGTCGGGTGGTTGCCGCGGGTCTTTATCATCAGGGCCCCGGAGGAGGATGTGAAGAAGGCTCCGAAAACTGCTAAAGGCAAAGAAAGGGAGGCAATCCATCAGCGAGAGTAAGTGTCCCAATAAATTCTCAGGTCCAATTGAGAATTTTGAACCAAATCGTCGGCAAACAATATTTCTTTTCAGTCTTACGCTCTTACCAGAAAACACCATTGTCTGTTATCCTTTGGTTGTTATAACGTGTGCATGTCTTATGTGTTTATGATACTATACTAAATGTTTTAATTCAGGCTCAGGACGAAATCACTAACACGAGATTTATTCCTGTAGATTCGTGTTGAACGAGATGATTGAATCTGAGCGACAATACGTCAATGATCTCCGCACAGTTGTTGAGGTAACCAATTTTCTCAAGTACGCTTTTATGCACGAAACGTCAATAAAAGAACGTCTTTGTGACTATAGCTGTTTAAAAGTGAGTGTTGCAGTGATCTTAAGGTTCGCTCATTGAAATTTATTGAGGCCCATTGCACTTTGCTGTGCTGCAAATTGTTGCAGTGCCTTGACAAATTCTGAAGCTTGGGCAAACTGTGATGGTAACCATTGTTAAACTTCGATAACAAGAGGAACACTGGTTTGTGAACATCGCAAGCTTTGCTTACGACTCTAAAATCCACGGAAGAGCTTTATTGATTGACCGAATTGTCATTTATGTTTCTTGGCAGAGTCACTTAGCCGAGCTCGAGGCCGAAGACATCCCCGATGAAGTTGTTGAAGAAAAGGATGTCGTGTTTTCCAACATCAAGGATATCTACGGCTTTCACACAAGGTAATTGTCAAAACGAGATTGTGTTGTGACCTCGGTCCTATGATGTGTACGACTACGAAACGATCGTATAACGACTACAGTACGATTGTGCGACCTCGGTCCTACGAGGTTACTACTACGAAGCGATCGTACAACGACCACGGTACGATTGTAATATGAACGACGATACTTTGCGACTCTTCTGCGGGAAAAAGAACACAAGAGTCTGTACGCTGTTATTTACAGTTAATAATTGTAGTTGTCTGTTAGTGACGATCTATAAAGGGGTACATTGCTTTGTTTTTCCCCAGGCAATTCTTACATGAACTCGAGGCATGCGCAAAGAATCCAGATGACGTACCAAAAGTTATTCTGAGACACGTAAGTGATAATTGACGTGGCATATCTCAGAAATGAAAAATGTTTCTTTGAAAGAAATATTCTTGCATCTGTAGATGAATCTCTTTACTTGTGTTACAAAGTTATTAGGATAATCATGCATGCTTGATTATTCTTTCACGTTGATCCTTTGAGTTAGCTTTAGGCAGCTCTTGCGCTGGACATGTTTTTTCATTTGCTTTTATTAGAAACCCAAATTTGAGATGTACGTCAAGTTCCTTGAGGGTAGATCGCTTGCCAACGAGAAGCTGGAAAACGAAGTCACGCGCGAATTTTGGACGGTTAGTCAAGCACTAGTGACACTCCTTGTTTAATTACTTTGTCTCCAACCAGTTGCTAAGCATCGGACTATTTTCTAAAATAACTGATAACTATGAGAAATCTTTGTGTATTTTACAGGAGTTTAAAGAAGACATGAAAGACGAGAATTCCCTGTCTGATTATCTAAAGAAACCATCGCAGCGACTGAATGAATACATCTTGCACCTCCAGGTTAGAGAAAGTAGACAATTCTCTTGTAAAGGTCCTACATGAATTGGCTTTCTTTTTAGTTTGTCACGGCCATTATATCCTTTCCCAGTTTTGATACGTCGTAAAGTTCTTTTTCTCTTGCGCATTTATACTTATTGGTTTCCAGTCGGAATACTCGTATTCGCTCCCTGCCACGGAATCTGGATAAACTCCAACTGCTTGGGACATTAAACCTGTGTTGTTTTTATTCTCCACTCTGATAGAGAGAGAATTTATAACAAGTCACAGCTTTTTCTAAGATCCCTCTGTTTTCCTTTTTTTCCCCCGCAGGAACTGCTTAAGTTCACAGTGCGCGCAAATCTGAAGCACTCCGACTATGAGGTAGGAACATTATAGAGTAAAGTACAACTCGCTAGACCCTTTCACAGTTTTCCTCTTCATCAGTCATAAGTGCGTTCGACCTCAGATATCTGTCTTCATATAGAACCACAAACAAACTGTTCCAAATACTTGTCAGAATTTTTCATCTCCTGATTGTCTTTATAAAGACACTCTGTAGACAGAAGAACCTACATCTGCCGTTTGCATCGTACAATTCAAACAACAAGAGGTATAATCTTACTGGTCATTGTTGTTTATATTCTTGCAATCTTTTTTTCAGGCGGCGCTTGAATTCTTGTCCAGTATCTCCCAGCGAGCTGATGAGGCAGCTCTGAAGTTCCATATCGAAGGATACAACGTGAGTAAACGAGTTGACACGAGACAGGGTGTTGAGGTACACACGTAGAGTTAGCCACCGTTAGCCAGTTTTCTTGGGCTTGAGTGGTTACTCTACGTTAAGATTTTGGTTCTACTCGACACGTTTGTTGATTTTTTTTGTCTCGGTTGGTCTTTCGGTCGGTTGTTTACTTAAAGGACTGACTGTCTGCCCAGATGCTTACTTGACTGAATGACCGACCGGCTGACTGAGCGACTGACAGACCGACAGACTGACCGACCGACCAACGTGCAGAGAGACGGACAGACAGCCAGACGGACGGACGGATGGACCAACCAATACCATACCTACCTGCCCACCTACTACCTTGCTACCTTACTTAAATTTTTGTTTATTTATTTACCGGTAGGGCGACGTTCCACTTGCAGATCTTGGAAGACTTATCCGCCAGGTAAGGCATATCGACCAGAAGGATTTTTGCACAAATTGAAAAACATGTATTGCAATAATGCGTTAAGATTTCTAGAAACCTCTTCTAGCCTATCTTTAGAGTACTCAAGTTGTACCTTTTCTTGTTTTGCAGGAACTGGTGTTGTTCTGGGAGGAGAAAGCACGTGGTAAAGGAAAAGAACGCGATTTGTTTTTGTTTGAGAAAGGAATCGTGAACACCAAGAGAAAAGAAGGTGGAAGAAAGTTCGTGTTTAAAAACATGCTGAAGGTATGAACTTCTTGTTCTCTTTTCAAACTGCAAAAGAATCCGATCCAAACTTGTCAATACAAGCCTGGCTTGTCTTATTTGTCATTATTTGTCACTCTCACTTCTTAGTGTCCTGTCATTTGTTGACTACTGTTCTGCAAAATCAAACCATGATTGTAGTGTTTTCTGTTGTCTAGCTATCATCTTAGCCTCCATGTTCATACTGCAATCCATTTCCATCCTCGTCATCGTTATTCATCCTCACTCCCTAATGGGTTCCTGTCATTTCTTCAGGTCTGTTCTACAAAATCAAACCATTATTGCAGGGTTTCCTTGTATCTCGCTATGATTGTTGCCTCCGTTCTCAACGTTGTCCATATTGCAATCCATTTCCATCCTCGTCATCGTTTGTCATCCTCACTCCCTGATGGGTTTCTGTCATTTAATGAGTACTGTTCTACAAAATCAAACCATTATTGTTGGGGTCCTGTGATATATGTATCTACTAACCGAATCTGTTAAAACTCATGTTAGTATACGCATGTAATGGTTTGGTGTGGATTGGTTGTGTTGCAGTTGACAAGTGGAAATGTTGGCCTGACGGAGAATGTTGAAAGTGAACCGCGTCAGTTCATGGTGTGGGTTGGTACCTCCATGACCAGTGCTCTTGTGCTTCACACCTTCGAGGTAAGAAAGTCAACCTGGTAAATATATTACCAGGGAAGGGTGGGAGGGAGGGAGCCGGGGAGGGAGGTTGGGTGGTTGGTGTGGGGCATCGAGAAAAATGGCATCAGTTTGGCGCTTTCGGAACTCCCTACCCAAGTGCAAGATGTGTCCTTTAGGTTTAACTGGAACTTCTAAATCATCTTGTAGACCTGCAAGGTAAGGTAGGACTTCATTTAGAAGGCTTGACAGTAACTAAAATTACTGCTGAACTTGTAGCCCTCGACCTGTGGCACTCTTGTCCACGGTAACGATAATCTTATTAACAGTGAAAACATAGTTTCAGGAGAAGCTAAATCTCGCAAATAGTTATGTTAGGATTTCAGTTTAAAATTGCTGAAGCGAAAACGTATGTTTGTTCGTGCAACATCAAAAGCAACTTTTCAGAACGAGATGATTTGCATCCCGTGATTGAATGTTCCTTTGCATTACTTAAGAATAATACTTGACTTTCTTTCTCTTCATCATTGTTATTCCAGACCAAGACCGAGTGGTCTAAGCAAGCGTGGGTTCGAGAGATCAAACGGCTGCTCAATTTAAGTGAAGGTGAGTTACAGCTTACAATCACAAGCCTTCTATATATTTGTTTTCTTTCTGTCGAGTGAATCTATTTGTTACTTTTATGCAGCTTTCTTCGAAAATGGCAAATGAGTTACGAAGAAGTTTGCTGCAAACGTTGCAGAAAGTGTAACCAGGATCTACTTGAAACCGACGTTAAATGGCGGCTGTGTAATGCATTTAGACCTTTGTCCGACTTGTCTGCTTAATATTCATCATGTTTCATGGTGCCATTTTATCCTTTCGTTTTACAGAATCGCCCGTCACTGCTGTTGCACCATCTCTTGTATTCGGTGAACTCTCAGTCGAAGTACCCAGCACTACATCGACTGAGACGAACCTGGTAACAACAGTCAAAGAAACTCTTACCAGTCTCTCGTACTCGCGCTTGATCGCTGAGGTAGAGAAACAGTACGTGGCTATCACGCCCCCAGACTCACCCGAACCCATGGGCCTGGTATGTTTTAATCATATTACGGCGTTAGTTATGTAGTGAACTCTTTTTAGTGTTGAGAGGGAGGCATACCCAATTCCGCTAGACACTTCTGTGATTCTTAAAATTTCAGAAATTAAAAGGGTATAAGTATGAAAATTTGTTAGAGATGAGTGAGTCCCTTCGAGGGAGGGGTCCACTTCAGAGAAGTGTTCATCTCAGAGAGATGTTTACTTACAGTAGCCTGTGAATGGGCTCCTGAGTGAGGTAGAGGACGAAACGAAAATTGGCGTGCGGAGCACAGCAAGACAGCGTCCTATCCCCCACTAATGAGCCTGATCACATGCCTTGCTGGAGCGTTCACATTAGTGAAGGTATCTGCCTCGGAGGTATCTACACCTTACGAGGCCGTCCATCTTAGATAAGTGTCGGCTGAGGGGGGCAGTTGGAGTGAAGGACTAATATTCGGGAGGGGCCTACTCGATGTTTCACCTGCCTTACCTTTCACTACGTCCTCAGTTAAGCAGGAGGCTTATTCACCCTTCATGCCCTGGTGTAGCTCATTGTGTCCTTTTTAACCTTCATCCCTAGAACATACAACTTGGAGGCACCTACCGCTTGTCCGAAGAAACCCTGGAAAAAGAGACTCATGAACTAGTTATTGGCCGTGGAGAGCAAGTCCGCGTTCTCCGCTCGGGCCGAGATCTTTACTTCGTTCAGACGGTCAAGGATGGCGAAACCAAGGAGGGCTGGGTACCAGGAAGCTGGTTGCTTGAGAGAGGCTTGGAAGATCAGATCCCCAGTACAGAGGTCCAGGAAGAGCTAGAGGCTGGCTTAGATGAGGATATCCTACAGGATCTGAGCTCTGAAGCGTCTGAGCCGGAACTTCAGAGGCTTAAGGACACAGGAGAAGGTATATCTGGGTTTTGTACCATAGCTATTGGGGACATGCCTTAGACTACGAACAGTTCCTCTATTTTCTTAGTCTGGCGACTGTGACGCGAACAAACGTGCGAGAGGAAAGATGTCTGCGTTTCGTCGCTTTTCACGCGCGCCTCGTGAAAGTACTGGTCACACTAGGGTTTCATCCGCAGACTTAAAAGCTAGAACCACCTTGTACAGCATGTTAAACAGTACCACACACTAGGGTTTGATCCACATACAATAACATAATAATTTCTTAATAGTGCTTGTCAGTGCTACTCGACAGCTTTCATATTGAACTGATGGTCACACAGTAGTGCGGGTTTATCCCATGAAAGTCAGTACTTATCAAAACCACTTAAAAGATTTTGAAAATTACAAAAGCATAGATAGAGACATGGATCCTTCAATCGAGTTGCATTTTTTTTTCTTTCCATTCTGTCACAAAAGTTTTAAGAATTCTTTGTTGATCGTGAAAACGTGGTTACATGCCGCCAAAAAAAAAATCGCGAAATGTAACATAAGGCTGGCCTCACCCAAAGTACTCTGAATTTCTTTGTTTCGTATTTTGACACGGCAGTTAGTCAATGCAGATTCGTCACGGATGGTGCCCATGTAATCCTTGTTAATCTCTCTCAATCTTAACCATCCTTGATTTGTTTTTGTTTAGTGGTATCTCTTACGTATTTCTCTAAATTATTCAGTTATTCTTTTAAAGACTCTTTCGAATTGAAGGTGATTTTGTACATCGCGAAACATTACTAAAATATCGTGACATAGCATAGCTCTCAGGCTTCCTAAAGATAACTTTGACCCCCACACCTTCAAAATATATGGTGGATGTCCATGAATAAACACGATTCTTTTAAATTTAAAGTTTCTTTAAACGAATTAAATCCATTTTAATTCCTTGTCTTTATTCCAGTCACGCTCGTCAGAGTACTCTTTGTAAAAGGATTACAAATACATAATATTTAAAAACTTATATTGTCTTTTTACCATTTAATTGCAAGTACATTTTGATAATTTCATCTCTATTTGAAATGCTACATAATTACGTTTTAAGAAGATTATAAAACCTGAATTCGAATTTCGTTCTTGTCATTTCACGGTAACGGTGCATGGCTCTGGAGCAGCGGAAAATAACGGGGCAAAACGTTATTTAAACGGTTTCAACTGGTCGTGTTTTTCAGCGATAATTTGGCAATGGTTTTAGGCAATGTAAAACATCTTATCGAAAACAATAGTTTTTGTTGATAGCGCTGTTGTTCGTTGGTCGCGTTTCGTTGCTTCCTAATTAGTGAGAATATTAATTATGTAAATGTTGCTTCCATCTGCAAGTGATTTATGCAAAGGAATTCAAATCGTTCATCGCTGGGAATTATATATTTATACTGTAATATTCCTGAGGGTGTTATTTGATGCGAAGTGTGTTATTAGGAACCACATAGTTCATTATTTCGGGCTATAGATCACTTGTTATCAACGTCAACTGTTTTTCAAATGTCTTCGCGATCACATATCTCTTCGTCTCGGACCTATGGGTCTTCAACAACTACTGGAAGTCGTTCATACGAGAGGACATCGCGAATTCGCGATCAGACGGCGAATGAGCGAAGCGAAGGACGATCTAGACGGCGAAGAGGTATAGCGAACTATATTTATGGTCTTCGAGAATTTGTTCACGATTTCTGTTGGTAATTAAGTATAGTTCTTCAATTTGAATCAGGTTTTCATGTTACTTTGGCCTTTAAATTTGCGTCAAGCTCGCATGCTCTTTGCTAGTATTGTATCCAATTTTGACAACACCAGTTTGGAACATTCTCGGCTCACATAATAATTCTGAAAGATATACACGCTAAATTCGTGTCCTTCAGCTATCGTTCGCGTTCATGTCGTTCTGTAAACAAAACTTTGCTATCGCGGTCGTAGTTTACAGTTTGTTTGCGAGGCTTATCAAATAAAGTATGTCATCTAATAAATACTGCTTTGACCCACAGCTCAACCGAAGTTCACAGAGGAACTGGAAGATGTGGAGGTCTGCGTCGGCCAACCTGCCAAGCTTCGGTGTCGAGTGGAGGGAGATCCCGTCCCAGACATCGAATGGTTTGTCGATGGCGACAAGATTAAGAAGGGAGGAAGGTTCGATTTTCTAACCAAAGGTGATCTCGTTACGCTGAAAATTTCCGAAACAAGTGCAGAAGACGAGGGGGAATATAAATGTACTGCGACGAACGAAAATGGGACAGCAACAACTTCGGCTGAGCTTATAGTAAACGGTAAGGGAGAACGCGAAAAATCTGTGATTTGTTGTTGTTCCTGCTTAGTGCGGTTGACCGCGAAGTGGGGGTAAACCTTGTCCTGTCGGATGCAATGTAATGTAATGGAATTTTGAGACAGTCTAAACGACGAATAATCATTCAAAGTACAAATAGTGTCCCAGGAATGTGCTGGAGTTATTTTTAACTTTGACTTGGAAATTTACATTATGGGCATGTGAGGTGAAAGTTTCAGTCACGGACAATGTTAAGATTAGTTAGTTTGTTAATGTTGTGCGCGAGCGATAAACTCTGTGTCACGGTTTTGAATTCTTAGAACTATGCTGATGCACACCCGTCAGATATGTACTACAGTGTTCGTGTGTTCATCTTCTTAAGCCATTAATCATAGGCCCCATAAATGGTTCGTTTAACTCGACCGAAATCTCTTGTTTTCTCACTGCAGGAAAGCTTTGCTTTGTTTTGACGCCTAAAACCTGTTTAGACTTTTAGACCGAGCTGCGTTTCCAAACTCTGTGGTCGTTATTATAAGTGGTCCATTTCCTACCCTCATAGAGATTTTTTAGCTAAATTACAAGTGATTTTGCGTTTTTGCGGTCAGTGTCGAGATAGCAAAGTTTTGCATATAGGATGCACAGCGTTTTTTCCTACGAGCTTTCGTGAGGGTTAAGTTCAGTTGGTCCGCAGGGTGCCTGCATTTTAATGTATTTATCGTTTTACCATTATTTCTTCATTTCAAGAACACTTGTCAAACAGCTTAATGTTATTTGTACCGTTCATCTTTTAATGTGCGGTCTGGCGAGGTTTAGAATGCAATCAGTGTAACTTTACGCTACACGGATTAGCTTTCTTCATTTCGGCGCGCGTCAGATACGCAGTTCTGGAGTTATCGCACCACCCCGAAAAGGAATGCTGATGCTCTGCGAGATAACTTTTAAGTGATGGCTACTGCACCACTGAAAACAATTTCGAGTCTCCTCATTTTGTTAGCATAACAGTTGCTGAGTCAAATATCTTTCAGCCTGTTGGCATTTCTCGGATGGTAGTGTCCGCTCTGCAAATTTTCCGTATTTTCCGTGAACAGCCTGCACTTTCATGTGACCTCTCTAGTGTTGAATCTGAGAGATGTCTAGCAAATGAGAAGCACTTAATTTTCCTGAATTCGTATGGTCCAACTCTTGAACAATGAGATAACCTTGATATTTCCACCATTCGCGTCCTCCTCTCTTATTTACCGTAATATAAGCGAGATCCCAGTGATATTTACTAATATTTGCCAAACAGACCTGCGTTGTTGATTTCGTGCTTGCGTGACATGTTAATTTAAAAAGGCGGCGGGGATATTTGTTTTGTTATCTGCCCTGCACTTTTTCCGGAGCCATTTAGATTCATAAACCAACCTATCAAAATAAATAAAAAAAACACACCGTGATCAATAGGTCAAAAATCTCTCTGGTAGATAGCACTGTTTCAGGCAAAGGGGTTTCTTGTTTTCCCTGTTGTTATTTATCCGCAATCTGCCTCAGTTGGAGAGGATGCCGTCCAAAAAAAGTAAGTTCTAGAATGTCATTTGAGAATCCTGCTGAAACTGTATTAGCCGTTACGCGACAAGGTCACTTTTCCTGCTGTACTCGCGTGCAGGGAACAAAGCTACTCGTACATCTGTTGCTCGTATTCCGCGCAGGAGACTCGTGAACGTGCTAAGTCTGTAACAGTTTCATCTTGGCTGGTGCAACAAAATGACGGCTCGTTTTTTCTAAGAGATATATTTTATTCTGTGCCACTCAGTTTGCACAGTATCGAGACTTGAATGTTGAAAGCTGCATTCCGAACTGTGCCGACACACCAATTTGTAAAAAATCGAATATGACATTTTCAAAAACTCTAAGTTAAGCTTCGGGTCTCTAGGCCCTGTTTGTAATCTTCCATACTGGGGCAATCTTAGCGAGGCTGCTGAAATTTGTGGGCGTTTTTGATCGTCCATTAGTGAAATATTCTTAGAACTAGACAATAGACCTATGCACTTCTAGTGGCAATCAATGTGTTCCTAATAGGAGAAGCCTCATCTGCTCCAAAGTATTGGACAAATAAGTTTTTCTGGGACCTGTGCGAGGATTCTTCCTTCTGGAAATATTATTCATCTATCCAGTTCGTTTAGATTCGCTCTTCCGCACCGTTTGGAAGAGTTATCAGTTATTATTTTCTGCTCGTCGTAAAATACAAATATTCTTCCCTGTTTTAAGTGTAACCAGAAAAATCTTCAAATCGTGTCCATTGCTGATGTTGTTGACGTACTTTGTGTTCCTTATTTCAAAACCATAGTTCGTGATTTTCATACTGAGCACAGAATATCAAACCTCTTCTTTTCTTGTCCAATTTGCACCCAAAGACTTCATATAGAAAACAGGCTTCTTAAAACACCAGGAATTATGTTGGCTGGAGACTCGTTTTTGTAACTCGAACTTACATTCTGTCGTAATAGACCTAATCCTTTCAAGGTGCATCGTAACAGTTCTGTGTGTTTGTAGCGGGATTTCGGCAAGAAACAAGGCCAGGTCGGTACAAAATCGTTGTCTACAAACCCCTCGTTATGTCTTTGTTATACCAGGTTAGTAATTTGTCAACCTCTGACATTTTCGTTGTCAAATTTTTGCGTTTGTGGAACATCAAATTGGCTTATTTTCATTTGTCAAATAAAAACGTTTTTTTTTCTTCGAATTCTTCTCGTGTCATACGATAATGTGAAATATTTCACTTGGTTGACCTCGGAAAGTTTCTCTCATCTCTAGAGCTGGCGAGTCGCAATGTTAATGAGTTTGTTCTCTAAATACAGGCAGTGTCTGTAATCGACTTTGGTGGGACAATTATAGACGATTGTGCTGGCAATTCATGTAAATAACTGACGAGAGATCGCCATATATAGATGAAATACTTATCAATACATTTTTCAGGGAGATACTCGAGATTATTGTACAGAGATAACTCATCAATCATCGATGTTTTTTCCTATTGATCCACCAGCCACAACCTTGGACAAAATAAGTGAAAAATTAAGACCACTCCTCCCCTATTTCAATGATGGAAAAAGTGGCGCGTTTTGGTTGTGGCGCGAATTCATCGTTGATTCGGGGGAAGGGGTGGTTTTCAGTATTTCTCATTTTTTTCTGTCCAAGATTGCAGCCCTTTTTTAAAAAAAATTTACCTGCAATTATTGGCCTTCTCCGGGAAACAAGTTTTACATTTAGACTGAGAGAAAGGAAGAGTCTAGTCACGTAGAAGTGGTGTGTTAAACTGTATTGAGTTTATTTGTCGCTTTAAGTACATATTACACGCTTTTGAAGATTAGAGAGTTTCAATTAATTAAGTTTGATTTATGTTAAAGCGGCAGAAATCTGTTTGCAAACGATTTCTTTGTCTTCGTGATGAAACACCGTGTCTTGTTTTTGATATCGTAGATCAAGAAACTCGGAATTCTTCTTAACATAGCAATATCAGAATATGGGCCACAAAATAGGCTTCATAATGCATCGTCGATTAGTACTTTTGTGATAAAATGCAACGCAGAACGTGCAGTAAACGAAAAAGTACATATATTTTTCAGATCTAAATCTAGTGAGCGAGATTTTTACAGTGCGTTTATTTTCAGAGCCGGGGAAGGGGTGGGAAAGCGTCACCGTCAGAATTTTAAAGGTGTTCAGTCATGGCATTTTGATTTGTTTTGGCCACTTTTAAAATTACCTTTAAATTGTGGGAAACCTGGAAATAGTAGTTTACTAACGTAGAAAAACAGCAAAGAGATAATAAAAAAGAGGTAATAATAGTTGTAAAATTAAACGGTGCAGATTGAAAACAAAAATTTTAAAAAATTGGAAAAAAATAAACCAGAAAGGAAAAAACATGTTTAAGGATGGAGAAGATTAACACGGATTACAAACGACGAACTTGAAAAATTTCGAGTAAACTAAACTAAAAGATGCGCAAACCTCAGCAGCGTCTGACAGGTTCTCTTGCCTTCATCTAGCTCCGGCGAAAATCGAAAAAGCGCCGAAGTCCCAGACTGTCCGCGTTGGGGATGTGGTGTCGTTCAAATGTGAAATATCTGGAAATCCCATCCCATCCGGGACCTGGTACCATGGTAAAACGCAACTAAAGGACGAAGGACGTGTGCTCATTGAAACTGCTGAAGACTTTTGCGAACTCGAGATTGAAAATGTCGAAAAGTCCGACGAAGGGGAGTACTCTTGTGTGGTGAAAAACGACTTTGGGGAGGATAAGTGTGCAGTGACTCTCACTGTTGAAGGTAATGATGGTGCTTGTGTCAAAATACAAATTCTCCCTACTGACTTCTGTCTATTGTCTATTGATGTCTGTAGGAGAATTTGTGTTAAGATCATGAAAAAGACGGAAAGGTTACAACATACTTTTCGTAACGAGTAAAAAGCTCGTTAAACGCAAAGCCAAAGAAAACAGACAATTTAAGCTGCGTTGGAACATCAATCTGATTATGACTGTTTTGCTTTCAGGCGGAGGAGCCGCAAATGAAAACAGTAACGATAAAGCGGGTGATGAAGGCGTGGCTAAAGGTGATTAGTAAAGCTAGTGAAATAACAGATAAGAGGCTGCATCTAGGACTGCTCAAGTTAAGGGTAAAAGAAAGTAATGGGAGTATTACCCAGTGACGTTTGTTTGATAGGTCACACATCAGTGTTTCATCCGTAGATTTAAAAGTGAAAGAGCGCTATAACTACATCATAGTAAACAGTACCACATGAAAGTACTGCTCAATACCTTTCATTTGAATGGTCACACACTAGGGTTTCATCCGCAGACTTAAAAGTTAGAACTACCTTGTACAGCATAATAAACAGTACCACGTGAAAGTACTGCTCAATAGCTTTCATTTGAATGGCCACACACTAGGGTTTTATTCACAAGGGCACCTGTTGCAGCTTATATCCCCTCGGCAGTTAGTAACACTCTTATGTTGTTCTCTTTCCTCGCACAACCAAGATGATGGAGATGGCGACAGTGACATAGAGAGCAAAGATCTTGACCTCCCTTTACGAGATCCGGTGCACCTGCGCACGGACAAGAAATTCGATGACGCGTACATCTCCCAGAAGGAGCTTGGAAAGTATGTTTCGCTTTTCTTTTCTGGGTTATTATTTATTTTTTCACACATGAGTGAAATTTCAGTTAGAATAAGAAAAAGGTTTTTTGGTCTAAAAAAAATATAAATACCGGATGTCAAAATACCAGATTGTGTGATATCAATGAATCTTCTGCTCCCGTGAAAAACACCCAAGTCGAAAATTTCCGGAAGATACAGCTTCATATCATTAATTAGCGCTGTGTTCAAACCAATTCCTTTCTTCTTTCGGTCCATTGTGCACACTACTACTTCCTACGGATACAATGCAATACCCCACGGGTAAATAAGTTTTAATCGTCCCCTAGGGGTAAATAACCATTTTATCTTACCAAATGCAATTTGCGTTTTATCATCCCCCAGAGGTAAACCGGTACATAACCTTTATTTTTCTTCCCAGGGGTAAATTCGGCGTTGTGAAGAAAGTTAAAGAGAAAAGCACGGGAACGGAATACGCCGCCAAGTTCCTGAAGATAACCAAGGAGTCCAGAGAGGAAGTGCTGGCGGAAATGCACATCATGAACAAATTGCACAGCAAACGGCTTATCTACCTCCAGGACGCGTACGAGAGACCAAAAGAGATGATTATCGTTCTAGAGTTGTAAGTAAAATATGTTTTGAAATTATTCTTGGCTCTGTAGAGAAAAAAAATATTGCTTGGTAAAAACCGCCTTTAAATGTTTAAATGAATGTATAAATTTGTCTTCTGATAGAAGGTAATCGAAGATTGTATGGCTGTACGTTTTATGTTGCGGTCTTGGTGGTTTTTTCAAAGCAGTCTTGATGCTTTGTTACTGGAATCTTCAAGCACTTAAAATTCTGCCTGGAGAATTCATGGTTATTTCTGGCATCAGATCTGATTGTTAATACACATTTCCTTTCTTCATTCTGGCATACAGATTTAATTAGTAAGCTCGTCTCGGTGTAGCTCAAAACGTGCATTCTATCTATAACAATACTGCAGTAGAGGTTTTGTAATTCCGCTTCGAGCGTCGTAGCCTGCTTCGTCGATTCTTTTTCGCTCTCGCTCCAATTTGCGGGCGGCAAGAATGCGGAAAAAGTTCTAGGTACGCGCGGGAATGCTTGCTATGCAAGATACGATAATCGTATCATTTGCATTCGTGCTATCTCGTAACTTAATATCCTTGTAGGTCTTTGCGGACTAAATGCAATGAGATCAATCGGTAAGATTTCTGTTCACGCCAACCGAAGATAAGAGAAACAACTTTTTTTTAATCCATTTTCCCTCACACTTTTTTACAATTTACAAATACGGTCACTTACGCCACTTACAATACAATACAGCTACTTACGCTACTTACAGTACAGTGCAGATACTTCCACTGCTTAGAGTATAATTCAGCTACTAACACTACTTGCAATTTACAATGCAGCTAAATACACCACTTACAGTACCAGTACAATTAAGGCACTTACAATACAATACAGATACTTACACCAGTTATCATACTAAAACAGTTACCTGCGCTACGTACAGTATACAATACCGCTACTTACAATACTGATACAGTTACTTCCAGTATTTCTAATACAATACGAAACACTACTTAAACTACTGGGGACGCTGAACTTTGCTCATCACTGATTTTGGCGGGTTTTTTTCTTTTTTTTTTTTGTAGAATTTCTGGAGGTGAGTTGTTCGAAAAGGTTTGTAATGATGACAACCTGACAGAGAAGGAAGTGGTGCGGTACATGAAGCAGATACTGCAGGGCGTGGAACACATGCACAAGAAACATATTGTCCATTTGGATCTTAAGGTTAGAACTTAAAACGGTTGAAATCATCTTCAATCTCGTGATAATCAGTACCACGTGAAAGTACTGCTTAATAGCTTTCATTTGAATGGTCACACACTAGGCTTTCATCCACAGACTTAAAAGTTAGAACCACCTTGTACAGCATAGTAAACAGTACCACATGAAAGTACTGCTCGATAGCTTTCATTTGAGTGGTCCCACAATAAGGTTTCATCCACAGACTCAAAAGTTAGAACCACCTTGTTCAGCAAAATAAACTGTACCACATGAAAGTACTCCTCGATAGCTTTCATTTGAATGGTTACACACGAGGGTTTGATCCACAGACTTAAAAGTTAGAACCACCTTGTACAGCATAATAAACAGTACCACTCGATAGCATTTATTGGTTGGTTATTCTAACACGCTGTCTTACGTGAATAGAAGTTAACGTCGCAAACACGTTCCATAACGTTTGAGTTTCTGAAAACAGATGTAACTTATTTCTTATTGTGCTTAGCCCGAGAATGTGCTTTGTGTGATCCGTCCTGACGGTAAAGAAGACCTCAAGTTGATTGACTTTGGAATGGCGCGTGTGCTTGAACCGGGCAAGACCGTCAAGGTAGCGTGTGGCACGCCCGAGTTTGTAGGTGAGTCAGCGTCTTGTAACGTAAAGGACCCGTCCACACCATGCCGGAGAAATTGAAAACACAGCTTTATTCCTAC